TATCAAGGTTGTGGACCCTATAGAGGTCACAATTTTAATCCTATTTTGATGAAACTTGAAATGTCTCAGTTCTTTTCGATATTCGCGCATATCGGACCGTAAGTTCCAGAATAATGGCCCTTGATTGTAGGAAAAATCTCATTTTTAGCTTGTGGACCCTATAGAGGTCATAATTTTTATCTGATTCAAAAAAACGTTTTATTATATCACCTTTACATCCTAAGGAAGACTGAGTTCGAATGTCATGAAAATCGGCCCAAAGCTTGTTCTCTATCCATCTTTTAAAAATGTGGGTGTATCCTACCTGGCAGCTGCTGGTTCTATAGGGCTAGCAAATTTTGTCATGACACCTGCCCATGGGCTAGTGGTTCAAAAGTGAAATTGTGCATCCCTGACCATGTGTTAGTCCTGAAATAACCTAGTTTGTGTTGAGTGGATGTTAAAATCTCTCTCTCTGGTTTTAGCTGGGATGACCCAATTGATGAAGTTAATTTAAAGAAGTGGAAGAAATGATTCATTGATATTTCTGGTATTGAAGAATTTAAAACCTGCTGAGGAGTTCTGGCGGTTTCCCTGACTTGCACTGTCAAACTGACATTTAGCAAAGTGACCCGGCAATCCATCAACCAATTTTGGATACTTTAGACCTAAAGCTAACTGAAAATCATGGTTAAATTTATTCATCAAATTGGTAATGAAATTCTGTCCGTCACATGGACTAATTAATAATTATAGCCCCTGATTGTACAAAATTTATTCATCAAATTGGTAATGAAATTCTGTCTGTCACATGGACTAATTTTGGCCCCTGATTGCGGACCCTCTAGAGGTCACAATTTTTATCCGATTTTAAAAACCGATAAATACATCACCATTACACCATATTGAAGGTTGAGTTCGAATTCCAGGAAACGGTCGCTCTTCGTATGTAACACCGTTCGACTAAAATCAAAAATCCTTATTTTTCAATTAATCAAAGTAAAATAATCTATCCCTTTTTTCATGATAATAATTTCTGTTTCTGTACATAGGATTCATGTGAGGCATAATATAATGTTCTTGCAAATTGTACTGGTTAACTTTTTCATCAGGTAAACATAACCTGGGTCCTTGTATTCTATTTGAATTTGCATTTATGTATTGTTGAGCACTATAGGGGCCTAATCTAGTTCCTGCTCCAGAACCCAAGAATTTGAAGTTGCTGGACAATTCTTCCACTGAATGAGATATTCTTGTTTTGTGTTCTTAACTCTTTGTCTAAGCACTTTGTCGGATACTTGTACAGATGGATTTGTTGAACAAATTCCTACATGTCGATGGTCTTGACTGCTGGTACTTTTGGCACTAGAACTTGAAACATCTTTCATCGCTGCCTCACTGTCAAAATTTATTTGACAACCTTTATCATGGCTATTGGCAGGATGACACATTGTTTCTCTTGTCACCATTAACACAGGGTTATTCCCAACAGCCACATCTTTAGTATCAGGAACATTTTGGACACCCACATCCTTTTTACTGGAGACCACAGAAATCTGTACTTTTTGGGCATCCTTCTTAGCAAAAAATTCTAGCTGCCGCTGTCTATCCCTTTGTCTTTTGGCAAAAGAACGATATTTCTTTTCCGGACTGGGTAATGAATTTTCTGAAAAGCCCCATTTAAAGCTGATTTCTGTAGAACCCCTATCCTGTTTGAGACTCCAAGACATTGGTAGTTGATTCAGACTTCTTATTGCTGCTACTGCTGCTGGAGGAAGAATAAAGTTGATATCCATCCTTTCTTCTTCCAAATATGTTTACAATTTATCTCGCTTAGCTGTACCGGAATCAAGAGTAGACAATTTTGTTCACTCTGCCTGCTTTCTCCACCATATAACACCGTTCGACTTTCAGGGAATGTAGCTCGTCGTTCGACTTTCAGGGAATGTAGCTTGTCGACGTGTGTTCTCTAAGTATCAGAAATGAATACAGATTCTTCGAATGGATCTTCAACACTTTATTTCAGGAGCAAATAATTAACAGCAACAATTTAACAACTTATAATTTCATATACATGTACATGTATATCGGACCTCCAACTAGTATGTTCACTAAGCTGGTCTCTCCAACTAATATCCTCATCTAACATACATTTGCCTATTTATACAAATCAGTTACTTAGAAAGTGTTGACATAAACATATAATTATTGAAGGATTAAGACTTAAGGCATTTAAAACAATAGTTAGATGAGACTTAAACATGCATTATGCAAGAGCTAAATCTGCCTATTGCATGTCTTTCTTTAGGCCTGAAATGTTTTCTAAAGTATTAATTAGACATTAATTACCTGATCCAGGCCTTAATTAACTCTCGATGGCATCAGATTTCTCTGATATTAAATAGATTAGAATGGTTCAGCGATACTTTGATTTAATCAAATATGGAGGACCGAGACTTAGCTTGCAATTGAGTAATTTGAATGAAATTTTCAAATTATTCATTTTACATCATCTACTTTCGAACTATTATAGCAAGAATGGCTAGTTCTTTATCTAAATCTTACATAATGTATCTTTAACAGATCAACCACTTTAGTTGCCAGCCTGTCATAATTTGACTGACAGGTTAATTGTTGCCTGCCTCTAAACACTAACCAAGCATTAATGAAAATTAAAATATAGATTTGAAATTTAAAACAGAATTGAAAAATAATAAAATAACATATGACCTAGACATCGGTCATATATGCAAATGGTGTAAAAGTATGTAATACTATAAGGTTGTGGCCCTCTAGAGGTCACAGTTTTTGTTCGATTTTGATGAATTTGATATTTGCGCATTTCAGACCATAACTTACTCAATAATGGCCCCTGTTTGTTCGAAAAAAATCACGGGTTCATCCGTCTGTCTGTCTGTCTGTCTCTGTCTGTCCGTCCGTCTGTCCGTCACACTTTTTGGGACACAATAACTCTCCTTCTAATTGACCTAGAATGTTCAAACTTGGTGTAGGTGTTTATTAGGTCAATGCCTTGATGGAGTTCGAAGATGAGCATTTTCTGCTTAGGGTAAGCAGAGATAAGCAATGTGATTGGTTGATGCTTTGGGACATGATAACTTTAGTTCTAATTAAGTGAGAGTGATGAAACTTGGTGTATAGTTTCATTACATCAATACCTTGACTAAGTTTGATAATGAGCATTTTCTCCTCAGGGTAAGTGAGGGATAAGCAATTTGATTGGCCTAGACTTTGGAACACAATAACTCTCCTTGTAATTGAGCTAAAATGTTCAAACTTGGTGTATGTGTTTATTAGGTCAATGCCTTGATAGAGTGCGAAGATGAGCATTTTCTGCTTATGGTAAGTAGAGATAAGCAATTTGATTGGTTGATGCTTTGGGACATGCTTTAGTTCTAATTAAATGAGAGTGATGAAACTTGGTGTATAGTTTCATTACATCAATACCTTGACTCAGTTCGATGATGAGAATTGTCTGCTTAGGCTAAGGAGCAATAAGCATTTTGATTGGTCAAGACTTTGGAACATAACAACTCTGCTTCTAATTGAGGTAGAATGTTTAAACTTGATGTAGATGTTCGCCTTGACTGAGTTCAATGATTAACGTATTGAGCTACAGCTAAGCAGAGATAAGCAATTTCCTTGGTCGATGCTTTGGGACAAGATAACTTTGATTCTATCTGATAGAGAGTGATGAAACTTTGTGTATAGTTGATAATCAGTTTGACTGCTCGATACTTTTGAAAAAAATAGATGTGCGATTAATTAATATGTGTCATCTATTTATTTGGGGATTTCGGCGGGGGACATCAGCCTCACTGTTGGCTTGTTTTTTTAGCTTTTCTCTATCTATCTCTTGAAAATGTGGGGGTATCTTGCATGGCAACCACTGGTTCAAATTTGGTGTGATGCAATATAGTCATGAGAGGACCTCGACAAACCCGATTGATAGTCACCGTACTAGAATTATACCCCCTTTTCAAAAAAAACTTGTGAACGCGATAGAGGTTAGAAGCCCACATATCAGTGTGGGTATATTTTTCGTTCCCCTGTCCATCCATCAAAAATTCCCTAGTGAACGCGATAGAGGCTATAGTTTTTGACAAATTCTTTTCAAATCTGTTGTGAAGCATCCGTGGTCGTGAGAGAACAAACACTATTGATTCTGGAATTATGCCCCTTTTTCAGAGAACCTTGATGGAGGTGGTCGTGAGAGAACAAACCCTATTGATTCTGGAATTATGCCCCTTTTTCAGAGAACCTTGATGGAGGCTATAGTTTTTATACGCCCACATGCTGGTAGCATTCAATCTGCATTGTATACATTGAGATGTGGTCGTATATTTCCGTTTGGGAACGCTCTAGAAGCTAAGGTCATGAGGCGAAGAAGCCTATTGACTTTCATCGATTTCTGATAATTACTGTCAGAGTTATGGCCATTGATCACTTTGAAAAATATGGAGGCCAAAGTTAATATCTGATTGACTTTAATTTTGTACACTATGTTTAAGTCTATGAGATGAAGAAGCCAATCACTTTTCATTGATTCTATCGCTTTTTATCGATTTCCAATAATTACTGTCAGAGTTATGACCCTTGATCACATTGAAAAATCTTGTGGGCTCTCTAGAGGCTAAAGTTAATATACGATTGACTTTAAATTTATACACAATGTTTAAGCTTATGAGACGAAGAATCCTATTGTTTTTCAACGATTTCCGATAATTACTGCCAGAGTAATGGCCCTTGATCACTTAAGATATCTTGTGGACACACTAGAGGCTAAAGTTAATATAAATTCATTCACTGTGTTTAAGGTCACGAGGCAGACAATCGGAAACAAATTGTAATGATTTCTAATAATTACTTAGTAGGTTGTTACTTGTAATTAGATTTTAAGTTTGTCGTAAATGTTTTCATTACGACAAAAGAAATTAATATCAACAACCCTTAATAGCAACTTATCTTTAATAGATGTAAAATATATTATCATTTTGTTACAGATGGATGATTTTACAACTGATTGTAGTATCTCCCAGACAGATCGAGGTTTTGACTATGCAGAAGATCTTCAGTTAACATAGAAAAAGAAATTGTAGCCAAATTTGTTCATAATTAATTTTGTATGTAAATTATAGCATATTATAAAGTTATTTAAAAGAGAAAAAAATATTGTTGATATTATTATGGAAAAATCTCTCATCAGTTGTCATATTTACACAAATAGGAAAATGAAGATCAGATATTGAAACCGTTTTTATACGTCCACATTGAAATGTGGTCGTATATTGTCGTTGCCCCCGTCCGGCCGGCCGGCATCCACAATTGCTTGTGGACGCTCTAGAGGCGAAACTTAATATCTGATTGACTTATACACAGTGTTTAAGGTCATCAGACGAAGAAGCCTATTGATTTTCAGCGATTTCCGATAATTACTTCCAGAGTTATGGCCCTTGATCACTTCAAAAAATCTTGTGGACACTCTAGAGGCCAAAGTTAATATCCGATTGACAATAAATTTGTACACCCTGTTTAAGGTCATTAGCCTTAGAAGCCTATTGATTTTCAGCAATTCCGATAATTACTGCCAGAGTTATGGCCCTTGATCACTTCAAAATATCTTGTGGACGCTCTAGAGGCCAAAGTTAATATCCAATTGACTTTAAAGTTATACACAGTGTTTAAGGTCATGAGACGAAGAAGCCTATTGATTTTCAGCAATTTCTGATAATTACTGCCAGAGTTATGGCCCTTGATCACTTCAAAATATTTAAGTTTAAGGTCTTGATTTTCAATGAATTTTGATAACTTAAACAGCTAAATCCATGATATTAAGTGTTTCGTATACTAAACATTAGAATGGGGCAGAACTTTATAATAACCAAACAAATTCTAATGATTTTCTGATAATTACTTAATGAGTTATTATTCTTAATCAGATTTTAGTGTATTATAAATGTTTCATTACCAAAAAAAGTAAAAATATGTGACAACTCTTGTTGACTGCCCGGCAACCTATCTTAAATAATATGAATGAAAATTACGCTAATTGAGTTAGCCTTATGCAGATTTGTTAAAATGAGTGGGGTTATGGTAATTGAAATAATTTGAACATTTTCAACTTCTTGTCCCAAACAAGCGAGGGACTGTAACTATAATTGATCATTAAGTTGTTTAGGTGGTACTTCTTCAGATTTGTTCAAAGTTACTTGAGTGATCAGACAGGGGCATGGCAGTTGCATCTCAGTTACTTCACCCCTTTTATACGCCAACATGGAAATGTGGTCATATATGGCAGTCGCCACCGTCTGTACGTCCGTTTTATTTTTAAGACATTTTATTCATTCGAGCTACCAAACGATACTTTAGATGTTTTGATTCGGTCACACCCGACGGTAAAATCACGATTTTTGCAAGAGCATCAATTTTTACGTTTTTTTTTTTTTTTAAATATTGAATATTTTTTCAACTATTTCCGGTTTACGGATCATTGTCAGGATAGATTTAACACGTTGTATGGGAACTTAACTTCCTGTACCAGAAGTTTCAGAAAGATCCATTGGACAGTTTTAAAAAGAAAGGAAAATTAGAAGAAATTTAACAATATTTAGCAAATAATTGGTAGTCTGATACTAATGTGTTATCTCCCTTATACCATTAGACCATTAGAAGAATTGATAACAATTTTTCAACTTTTTTCAAAGATTGTGGCTCTTTTTGGACCATTTATACTATATTAAGGCTTTTAAATTTGGATTCACACCCTAGACCACCGTTAGGACTCTAAGTAACAGAAGTTTAAGAAAGGAAATAAGAGAAGTTTTCGGGATGAAAGCATTTGAATAGCCCACAAAAATGAAAATACTAGATTTTCAGCGTCCCATTATATATTGCCTAACCAGCGAATTTTTACCATTTAGATGTCATACGATCGTCCATTGTTCGGGCTATCCAATGACACTTTAGTTGTTTTGAAATCTTACGTAGTAATCACTTTTTTTCGCAAGGTCACCATTTTTTTACTTTTTATGTTTTTTTTTTCTCAAAATATCGGATATTTTTTCGACTACTTCCGGTTTTTGGATCATTGTCGGGATAATTTTAACAAGTTGTTTGGTTACCTAACCTTCTGTACAAGAAGTTTCAGAAAAATCCATTCAGCTGTTTTCCAAAGAAAGAAAAATAGAAGAGCATTTTCAGTAATTTAAGGATTTTTCAACTTTTTTCCAAGATTGAGGCTCTTTTTGGACCACTTATATTATTTCAATGCTTTTATTTTTGGACTCACGCCATAGTTCACCGATAGGACACTTGAGTAAAAAAAGTTTAAGAAAAATCGATAGGACTCTGAATAAAAAAAGTTTAAGAAAAATCGTAGTTTTCGTTTTGGAGAAAATGGCGTCTCAAAATACTCCAAAACGGAAAATACTAGATTTTCGGCGTACTATAATTTATTTTCTAGCCATCTAAATCGTATCATTCAGATGTCATATGATAGTCCATTAATGGGGCTATCCAGCGTTACTTTAGTTCTTTTGGTCCGCTAACATCTGATGGAGAAATCAAGTTTTTCGCAAGAGCGCTATTTTTTTTAACCCTTTTTCTTCATTTTTTGGATACTTATATGCAATATTTAAATTAGTGAAACGAAGAAGCCTATTGCATTTCAACAATTTCTGTTTATTACGTCTAGAGTTATGGCCCTTGTTTCACTTTATTGATCCTTGTGAACGCACTAAAGTCAAAAGTTATCATTCAATCTTTCTGAAAATTATATGCATTATTTAAATTAGTGAGACGAAGAATCCTATTGAATTTCTGTTTATTACGTCTAGAGTTATGGCCCTTGTTTCACTTTATTGAACCTTGTGAATGCTCTAACGCCAAAAGTTATCATCCGATCTTTCTGAAATTTATATGCATTATTTAGATTACTGAAACGAAGAAGCCTATTGAATTTCGGCAATTTCCGTTTATTACGTCTAGAGTTACGGCCCTTGTTTTACTTTATTGGTCCTTGTGAACGCTCTCACGTCAAAATGTTATCACCCGATCTTTGTGAAATTTATATGTATGACTTAAATTAGTGAAACAAAAAAGCCTATTGAATTTCAGCAATTTGCAATAATTACTTCTAGAGTTATTGCCCTTGTTTCACTTTGTTAAACATTGTTAATGCTCGATTTAGTTATCATCCGATATGTATGAAATTTATATTATTATTATTATTATTATTATTACAGCATATTTATAGTGCACCATATTTATAGTGCACCCTTTCATGTAACATGTTCAGGGGCACTTTACAAAGTGACAATGTAAAACAAGATTATGGGCATGTTAACGATTGTATACAGAGTCAGTTAAAAGCCTGATTAAATAAATGTGTTTTAAGTTGTTTTTTAAAAGAATATAGAGATGTACAACATCTTAAACTAAATGGTAGATTATTCCATAAAACAGGTGCTTGATAACTAAAAGAGCGCTGACCATAAGAGACTAGTTGAACAGTTTTGGGCTTTAAAAGTAGTTTATCTGATGTACGTAATGTTCGGCCAGGTGTATAAAGTTCTAAAAGATCTGAGAGGTAAAGAGGAGCTAAATTATTTAAACATTTAAAAGTAAGTAATAAAATCTTAAAATCAATTCGATATTTAACAGGTAACCAGTGTAAATTATATAAAACAGGAGTTATGTGGTCACATTTCTTAGTTAAAGTAACAAGTCTAGCCGCAGTATTCTGTACTTTTTGTAATTTATCTATAAGCTTTAAAGGTAAACCAACTAAAAGTGAATTAAATTTATCTAATCGAGAAATGACCAGAGAATTAACAAGTGACTTTGTGGCCTCTACAGTTACACATTTACGTATTTTACCTATATTTCTAATATTAAAATAGCACAATTTACAAATATTATTTACTTGAGCTCCCATAAGCATAAAACGATCAAAGATAGCGCCAATATTACGAGCAGAATAAGATGAAAATATATCACAATTACCAATTACAACAGGGGGGTTATCTTGTGCAGATTTACTTAATTGATGCCTTGAGCCTAATAACAAATATTCGGTTTTATCATCATTCAATTTTAGAAAGTTCTTTGACATCCATTTTCTAATTTCACTAATACAGTTCTCAAGTTGCAATTTTGATTAATTGAAAGAAGATGGACAATTAGGTGTAAATGAAATATATAATTGAGTATCATCGGCATACAAATGAAATCTGAGACCATATTTTCTGACAAAATCTCCTAATGGTGACGTATAGAGGGTAAATAAAATCGGACCAAGGTGTAAATGAAATATATAATTGAGTATCATCGGCATACAAATGAAAGCTGAGACCATATTTTCTGACAAAATCTCCTAATGGTGACGTATAGAGGGTAAATAAAATCGGACCAAGAACAGAACCTTGGGGAACCCCAGATGACAAAACAGATTCAGACGACGATTTGCAATTAACTAAAACAGCTCTCTAAAAGATTTAATGCAGAGCCACAAATACCGAATTTAAATTGAAGTCTACGTAGAAGAATGGAAGTGTCCACCGTGTCGAAAGCAGCAGATAAATCTAATAAAATTAAAAATGTACATTTTCTATTATCAATTTCCATTAAAATATCATTTGAAACCCGGGTTAAAGCTGTTTCGGTACTGTGAAATTGTTTATAAGCACTTTGAAATGGTTCATACAAACAGTTATCATCTAGATGGGCCTTTATCTGAGAAGCAATACATTTCTCCAATATTTTAGAAATAAAACTTAAGTTAGAGACTGGCCTGTAATTTTTAAAAACATTAGGATCCAGTGTAGACTTTTTAATTAAAGGGGTAACATAAGCTCGTTTGAAAACGTTGGGAATAGTAGCGGATGATATACAAGAATTAATAATATTGGTAAAAACTGGAATAACTTCGTCTAGACAGTCCTTAAGAACAGAAGTCGGAACAGGATCTAATGAACAAGATTTAGGAGCAGACGATTTAATAAGCGTTAAAACAAAACAAAAGATTCACAAACCAAGTTAAAATTTTCTAAATAAACAGAATTTTCTAACTTATCAAAATCATGAGCGTTAAAATCAATAGTTTTATTTAAATCATCAAGTTCAGTTCGTAATTTCTGTATTTTTATTTGAAAGAAATCAGAGAATAAATTTGCAAGTTCAGTGTCATTATCATTGTCCGGGAGGATAGTACGCTCACCATTATGGTCCAAAAGGGAATTCACAACTTTATACAGGTCTTTTTGTCTGTTTTCGCCATTTTCTATTTTATCAGAGTAAAATTTAATTTTAGCATCTTCAATTAATTTATTCACATTGTTTTTTAAAGAATTATAAATCTGTTTATGGACATGTAGATTTGTTTTCCGCCACAAATGTTCAGCCTTATTACGGTCCCTTTTGGCTTCTAAAATAGAATCATTAAACCACTGCGTATTGGGACGAATAGTAAATGTTTTCGTTTGAAGAGGAACAAGCGAGTCCAAAATTTCAGCAAGCTTTGAGTGATATTGGGTTGCCTTCTCTTGTATATCTTGAATACGTTGAATGCCATTGAAATTCGAGTTCACTATTTCCGCTTTAAATTTATTTATGTCAAATGATTTAAACCTTCGATATGTTAAAGTCTTTATTGTTGGTTGTGGTTTCTGGATCATAAGATTAAAAGTTGCCGGGAAATGATCAAAAATTAATTTGTCCAAGACAGAGAGATTATCCATAAACTTTTGACACAATTTGCTATTGGGCGGGCGGTAAATTGTAATAATCCTAATTTCCTTGAAAGAAAACTGTAGAGAACAATCCAAAATTTCAAAAGAATCAAAACGGTCAATACGGATTTTCTTACACTTAATAGATGACTTAAATATAAGTGCTACGCCTCCTCCACGTGAACCGCGAGGGCAATGTTGTATAGAATATCCATCAGGTACTAAAGCTGCGATTGTCAATGAGTCCGAACAGTCATTATTCAGCTACATTTCAGTTATTCCACAAATATCAATAGAATTTTCAAAAATATAATCAGATAAAATTGTTGTTTTATTTCTTACGGATCTGGCATTAATTAATCCAAACGAAGTTGTTAAAACTGACGCTTCATTTTCAACCGCCTTTCTAATTTGTATAAGATTGTTGTTTATCTTCTGTTTTGGTCTAAAGTTTTTGATCTGTTTGTGATATTTGATAGAGTTTGAGGTGAGCTGGATGAGATTGCTATGATTAATGTTAATATTCAGTGGATTAGTGTTTAGAGGTTCATATGGTCTGTTGGTGGTGATAACTTTTAAATGTCTTTGATTTCTCCCAATTACTTCATTGTTGTCGTATATATAATCATTCAAAGCGACTGTTTTATTTTCGACGGGCCATGCATTTAGACACAATTGTGTATTGTCTGGGCGTTGATCGATTTGTTTAGAAATTATTGGAATAGTAACAAGATTGCCCCTGTTTACTGTTCTGTGTCTTTTTACTGTATCATTTCTAATAGTAGTAGTTGGATTTAAAACATCAATCTTTTTAACCCACTGCTTTCCACTCCTCACGCCTCTATTATTATTAATATTATTATTATTATTACTAAAACAATGAGATTTGGCTTGAATGTTATTGTTGTAAGAGTTCAGTTGTGATTGATAGTAGGTGAGTGGATTCAGATAGCTCACTAGCCACAACAGATACAAATTATTATGAAACATTTTGATAAAATACTGCATTCAGAGTTACTATTTTAAACAAAAACACATGCAGGACAAATGCACAGCTGCCTCCTAGGCGCTTTCATAATGTTTTCAATCTAGGCTTCCTAAAATTAGGCCTAAATTTTAATGAAAAGGCGATAAATAAATGTTTCTTCGCAATAGTTATATTTAAACAGCAAACACTACTTCGCATAAAAATGTTCCACATGCACGACAATAGAACTGAAATCTGTCGCAAATTTATCAACAAATTATATCTTAACAAAAACTGTTATACAATTATTTGAAAGTAACGGCTTTACCACGCCTGCGCATTAATAATATATATTTGTATGTCGAAATCCACATTAATCCACAATAAATCACAGGCACGAAAAACACAGAGCACAACAAGTCACAGTCAACCACTATGGCGTTTACAATAAAAGTTGCAGAGATCAAACTATCTGTCAATAAAGGTTGCTAACGGCAGGCCCATCGGGGCGGCCATTTTGAATTTTTGACAGTTGACAGCTGATCGACACAATGTAAACATTCACCATGACAGATAGGTCAAAATACAAAAGCAATACATATATTTCACATCAAAATGGTCCTGGTGATCACGCACAAACATTAAATCAAAAAATCTATTACATCCATTATTGATAAATATATAATTATCGAAAAACACTCACAGTACCGTTTGAAGGTACCATTTAAGTTTGTGAAACAGGTCTATTGAATTTCAGCAATTTCCGTCAATAATTTCTAGAGTTATGGCGATTGTGAACGTTTAAATGACAAAAGTCATCATGTGATCTGTATGAAATTTATATGCATTATTTAAATTAGTAAAACGAAAAAGCCTGTCAAATTTCAACAATTTCTGTAGATTACTTACAGAGTTGAGACCCTTGTTTCAGTTTGTAGAACCTTGTTTCAGTTTGTAGAACCTTGTAAACCCTGAAACGACAAAATTTATAATCTGGTCTGTATGGAACTGTCTTGTAAAGGCCTCCAATTACCTACAAAGGAATTAATATGCGACAACCCTTGACGACCGCTCGGACGATTTAGCTGCTGTGGGCGTATGTTTTGTTGCCTGGCAACCTACCTTTGTGTACTGTCAAACCCTCGTCCGTAGGAATATCAAGTCCAGAAATATTGTATACTGTATCAGTATAGTTTAATGTTATTCCGTCGCTATGTAATGTAAAGTAAACCTAGAACCAACCCGGAAGTGCTACAAGAGATTATTAAAAATAAACATGTAAAACCCAAACAAATGTTTATATACATGAATACAAATCCAACACAGCATGGACCTGCAAACATGAAACAAATCCAAAACACATTATATAGACAAAAACAGAAAACCAAAACAACAGTGCATGCAGCCAACGTAGCGGATGAAATACTGGAAGTCATTGGAATGTTGAATACTCAACCTTTTGTACAGCAGATAGTACATAGGAAAGGTGAAGTCCCCTCTGTTATGTGTTATACCAAAGATCAAATTGTTGACATGAACCACTTTTTAAAAAACTCAAAGTCTCCAATTTTGGGAATAGACCGTACTTTTAACATGGGGACATATGATGTGACCGCGATTGTGTACAAGAGTGAGCGAGTTATCAGGAAAAAAACCAAAAGATTTTCCCATTATGGTGGGACCTGTCCTTTTACATAAGAACATATAAAGAATTTCTAACACTATAGCGGATCAACTTGTTGTTATAAATGAGGTGGAATTAAATGTGCCTAACAATATTGAATTTGGCTCGGACGACGAAAAAGCTCTTACTAACGCAATAGAACAATCATTTCCGAACGCAACGAGAAGGTTATGCACCAAGCATATTAAAGACAATTTAATATTTCACTTACAAAATAAAGTGGGACTTAATGCTAGTGAGCGATCCCAAATTGTAGATAAGTTCTTTGGAACTGAAGGACTTGCGTGTGCAAACGACATAATAGACTTTGAAAGAAGAAAGCATGACATCTCAACCGTGTACGAAAAATACCCAGACCTAAAAAAGTATCTTGAAACCGTGAAAGATAGAATAACAAAGTTCGTTTATATACCAAAGAGAAAAGGTGACGAAGTCAAATTATGGACAAATAACAACGCGGAATCCGCAAACCAATTTTTTAAATGTGCCATTGACTAGAAACCCCAAAAGGCTCCGGAATTAATCGAGAAGCTGTATATGTGTGTGAATTTTCAATTAATTAATTTAAGATCTACCCTGTATTTTTCTGGAGATTATGAACTTTGTGGTCGCTATAAAGCATATTCTGTTTCTGAACAAAAGTGGCGCTGTTTCAGCGAAGAGCAAAAAGAAAAATATTTGCAAATTTTCTTAAAGACTCGAAAAGGAAGCGCGACGAAGAAGAAATTATTTGTTCAACAAACAAACAAATTTGTGTAGTAAAGAAAGCAAAGTTACCAGCCAAAAAACCCCATCAAACCAAAAGGTGTAGAAGTGTTCGCACTAATAGAAGATAGGCCTAAAATGTTATTTATTTATAACCAGTAGCTGAAACAATCTTGATATATTTGCCCTTCAATGTCTAAATTTTAGTTTTGCCTTCCATATTCTTTAAAATATATATAGATGTTTTTCGACAGTTGTACGTGATTACACCTCAAATAAAAAATAACATTCTTGTTGTATTCTTTTTTATAAAAAAAAAACCGTCCGTAAAATAGTCGGCGGTAACAAGGAATCATTAAGCATTTGGTCGGCGGTAACAAGTATACTATTCAAAAAAAGCAGGCTATGGTCCAGATACCGTGATACACAATCTGTACAGGACAGACCACGCTCAGGTCGACCAAGGGCGACAACTCAAGCCCAGGATCGATTTATCCGTACCTTGGCCTTGAGAAATCGTGTCCATCACAGCAAATCAGATCAGCGCTCGTCTTCAAACAGACACTGGTGTGAGAGTGAGTGGCCAGACGATTCGGAATCGACTGCATAGGGGTCACCTTCGCGCCCGACGTCCTCGCGTGATCCCTTGTTTGAGAGATCATCACATTCAGGCAAGACGTCGTTGGTGTAGGGATCGTCAACACTGGGATAATCGACGCTGGAGCAATGTGATGTTTTCAGATGAGTCAAGGTTCACTGTTGATTTTTTGGACAGACGTAGGAGGGTGCGGCGTCGTCGAAACGAGCGCTTCCAAGACGTTAACGTCATCAGACATGATCGATTTGGGGGTGGTTCTGTTATGGTGTGGGGAGGCATCACTGTTGCTGGAAGAACGGCTTTACATGTTGTTGCAGGGCGTGTTACAGGCCAGTACTACCGGGACAACATCTTGGCAGTCCATGTTGTGCCGTTCGCACGACGTCATGGCCGCCGTTTCATCTTCCAGGACGACAACGCAAGATGTCACAGGGCCAAGATCGTTAAAGGTTACCTCCAACAACAGAACATCACCACATTACCTTGGCCAGCACTGAGTCCCGACCTCTCCCCCATCGAGCATGTCTGGGACATGCTTGGACAGAGGTTACGTCAACGTCAACAACGTCCTGCCAATGTCCAAGAACTTGCTGCTGCGTTGCAACAGGAATGGGACAATCTGGACCAAAATGACCTTAGACGTCTCATTAGGAGTATGCCACGTCGGATCAATGCTTGTTTGGCAAACAGAGGAGGATTTACCCGTTACTGACTTGGTTGTGATGCTGTGGTAACTTTGCTGTTTGACCCCGGGTATCATTTTACCCTTATAATGGTCAGTCTGTGCCTTACTTAGTCTAACGATCATTTGGAATAAATCGATGAATGTGAACTTCATTTCATTTTGTCATTTGTTTCTTCGTCAGTTTCATTAGGTGACTTTAATAACACTTAAAAATCAAATATCCCCTACTTTTTTTGAATAGTATATTTGGTCGGCGGTAATTATATTACGGTCGAAAGTCATTACAATGGGGTCGGCGGTAAAAAGTATTTGGTCGGCGGTAATTACACGACGGTCGGCGGTAAAAAGCATTTGGTCGGCGGTGGTCGGCGGTAAAAAGTACCACCGTCTTAAAATGCTCCAAAACGGAAAATACTAGATTTTCGGCGTACCATAATTTAATTTCTAGCCATCTAAATCGTACCATTCAGATGTCATATGATAGTCCATTAATGGGGCTATCCAGCGATACTTTAGTTCTTTTCGTCCGCTAACATCTGATGGAGAAATCAAGTTTTTCGGAAGAGCGCTATTTTTTTAAACCTTATTTCTTCATTTTTTGAATACTTCCGGTATGGAGATTATTGTCGGGATAGTTTTAATAACCGGATTGGCTTATCAAATAGCCACAGGGCTATGTAATGATATATTACATTGTCTGATCAGATAAAATGTCCCTGGGAAATCCTATGTTCAATAGTGCCAAAAATGCAAAAATGTCAATATATCGAAAATTAAATTTAAATATTTCAATACATAGTATACATCGTTAGAATCGTAATAGGTCAGCTATCTGAGGGTGTAACTTTTTTGTAAAATTTGTTTAAATATACTATTCAAAAAAAGTAGGGGATATTTGATTTTGGGGGCATAATACTAAAATATGCAAATGACTACGAAAAAAGTCACTATAGAACCTAACAGAAGAAACATTTCCAGTTACATGTGACGCCCAAACGCACCAATAGCTACCGCATGGAATGCAGGTGATGCTTGGGATCATCATGGGGGTCCAACCCAAGATTTGCACGACTCTGACTTTGAATGTTACAGTCATTGTGGCATTGAATTCCAGGGTGGAAACATCAGTTTAATTGTTTTAGTGACCAGAAAACAAATTTTGATATGCGTCGGCTTACCCAAAATGAAAGGTTACGTGCCCTTGGCATGCTACAGATCGGCACAACACAGGCGGTTGTGGCGCGGACGATGAATGTTTCTCAGTCTGTCATAAGCAGGCTATGGTCCAGATACCGTGATACACAATCTGTACAGGACAGACCACGCTCAGGTCGACCAAGGGCGACAACTCAAGCCCAGTATCGATTAATCCGTACCTTGGCCTTGATAAATCGTGTCATCACAGCAAATCAGATCAGCGCTCGTCTTCAAACAGACACTGGTGTGAGAGTGAGTGGCCAGACGATTCGGAATCGACTGCATAGGGGTCACCTTCGCGCCCGACGTCCTCGCGTGATCCCTTGTTTGAGAGATCATCACATTCAGGCAAGACGTCGTTGGTGTAGGGATCGTCAACACTGGGATAATCGACGCTGGAGCAATGTGATGTTTTCAGATGAGTCAAGGTTCACTCTTAATTTTTTGGACAGACGTAGGAGGGTGTGGCGTCGTCGAAACGAGCGCTTCCAAGACGTTAACGTCATCAGACATGATCGATTTGGGGGTGGTTCTGTTATGGTGTGGGGAGGCATCACTGTTGCTGGAAGAACGGCTTTACATGTTGTTGCAGGGCGTGTTACAGGCCAGTACTACCGGGACAACATCTTGGCAGTCCATGTTGTGCCGTTCGCACGACGTCATGGCCGCCGTTTCATCTTCCAGGATGACAACGCAAGATGTCACAGGGCCAGGATCGTTACAGGTTACCTCCAACAACAGAACATCACCTTGGCCAGCACTGAGTCCCAACCTCTCCCCCATCGAGCATGTCTGGGACATGCTTGGACAGAGGTTACGTCAACGTCAACAACGTCCTGCCAATGTCCAAGAACTTGCTGCTGCGTTGCAACAGGAATGGGACAATCTGGACCAAAATGACCTTAGACGTCTCATTAGGAGTATGCCACGTCGGATCAATGCTTGTTTGGCAAACAGAGGAGGATTTACCCGTTACTGACTTGGTTGTGATGCTGTGGTAACTTTGCTGTTTGACCCCGGGTATCATTTTACCCTTATAATGGTCAGTCTGTGCCTTACTTAGTCTAACGATCATTTGGAATAAATCGATGAATGTGAACTT